TCTAGCTGCAAGTGTGACAGATACTGGCCATGTTAGTTTGACCCTGGTATGTGTTGTTTTAAAGTCTTTGGCTTTGCACAGCCTGACTTGTGCTCAATGTACTTCTCTTCCTGGTTGAGTTCTCAGCATTAAACGAGTAAATGAACATGGTTGTGCTACTGCTTAGTCAAATTCTGAGCTCAAGCATTTACTGCAGGGCAAGTATTCCAGTGTCTAGATCCCTATTTACTTGCTGCTTTTGAGTATTAGCTTTAATACTCAGGGGGTGCATTTATAATGCCTGCATTAATTGTTGAATGATTATGTGGTGTGAGTAGGGGAAGAATCTGTCATCGTTAACTGCAGCATTTTATGGCTTAACTGCTCTGGCTGACAGCCTTGCTGCCCCTTGGTGGCAATAACCACGGCAAAAGTGAAGCTGCCATCTCCGTAGTGGCTGTAGTTCAGAATTTGACAAATTAATTTACATCTTTCTGGTTTAAGCTAATGCCTCAAAGACTCAAAGGTTTAATGGGATCCTGAAGCACATGGGAGTTGTGTTTACTACTTTCACACAGGAAATAAGGGATGAGGAGAAGAGCGGTAAACCAGGATGTTCTGAAATTGGGATTCTCTTTCTGCATTAGTTGTCTAGGCACTGAACATACATGCAATAAATAAAATACATTAATGTTTGACTTTCTGTAAAAGGCAATAGCCAAGATTTTGGTACTTATTAATTATTAATTCAGCTATGGAATAAGGCTGAAATAGGTTTAATTATATGCTGTGGTCTGTGTCTGCATTTTTTGATGTAGAAGTGGTTCCTCTTCACATGCTGAATCTCCCATCTCTGTAGACAAACTCAGTTCTCCAGTAATTCTCCTGCCTGTAACTCTCACTGTAATTGCCCTGAATGTCCTGAACTGCAGTTCCCAGCTGAGTTAGGTGAAGTAGCAGTAACGTGCCCTTGGAATGGCGAAAAAATGGCTGTACATAGTGATAGCAAATATTGGAAATATTAAAAAGCTGGTCAGTTGTTTGTTCCTGTTGTTGGACTGTAATTAAATCCAGGTAATTAAATCACTGAAAAAGTGTGCTACTTTCTTTGCAAGGTTTTCTGTACATCCCTGAGCCTGTTCTTTTGTCTTCTCTGAGATCCTTCAGAAGTGTCTCACCCTGTATCAGGCCTGCAGATGGCTTGGCAAACAGAACACCTCATGACATTCTCACTTGTCAGGCTAAGTAAGGAGTTCTTTTCAGCCGCCCTCACAAAGGTGTTACAGTAGTAATCATGAAACAGAATCAACTTTGTTGTTGTTGATTTTATTTCTTTGAAGAAAACGGTTACCTACATTTCGTAAGTAAGGTTAAAATCTGCCCTTCTAGAGCAATTTGCAACTTCTTAATATCAGTTAAAATTAATTTATTTTATGTGCTTAACTTTAATGTCTTATAGTCTGAGATCCCTACGGAAGCATTTTTATGTCACTAATCAGGAAATATTAGGAATTTGTTATAGGGGGAAAATCATAGTGGTGTCCAACTGCATGAAAATAACACACGGACTGTGATTTAGCAGGTTGTTGATACTCTTCTGAGTCATTGACCTAGAAAGCAATGGAACTTAAATGGAATGTGATTTTTATACACCACAGGTCAGAGCAGAGGAGGTACTTTTTTGTTCAGTTTGCAAAACTGAATAGTACCTTGAGATATTATAAATATGAAATGTGTGAAATAAGTACATACTTCCTTGCAAATCAGGGAAACAAAAATCTGTAGTTTTTTGAAACTTCCTCGATGTAGTTTCTAAGGATTGACTGTACTGGGGAAGTTTGAGTGTACTGACAAACTGTAAGTTTCATTTTAGAATAAAGTTTTCAGAAATGTTGTAGAAGCAACATGGTAAGGTATCATCAGTTAACTGCGCTTATTAATGGTGTATAAGTGAGAGGGGAGGTCAAGAATAACTTATTATAGAAGAAATATGGACTAGGATATCTTTTTTTGTCTGAGGTGTTATGATAATGGAGTGTAAGTTTCTTGAATACTTTGTTACCTCGTATTTTTAAGAAAGAGGGGAAACCACCACTGAAATGATACACATAGTTACTGTCTGAATTAAGGATGTGCTCAAAAGCTGAGTCGTTTTGAGTGTGTGTGAGCTGCGTTCTCTGCTCTGCATCGAACTCGTTGTTAATATGAGGAACAAAAAGGCTGGGACTCTGCTCTGAAGCGAGGTGTGAATTATAAAAGCAAGTGTAATTAGGCCACTACATGCTGCCCTTTTTCCGGCAGTACCGGCTGAAGCACCTCCTCGTGTAACTTGCGTCAGCTCTCGAAACTGGTTTGCGGTGACTAAACCAACGCCTGAGCCGCTCCAAGTGAAGAGGTGGCGGAGCAGCTCGGCAGAGCGCTGGGAAGGGAAGGATTCATCCCTGCTCTGGGAACTGGCACTGCTGCCCGAGCCTGGGCTGCGCTGAGAAGCAGGAAGGACAAATGGTGCTGGTTCCACAGAAGGCGCTGTGTGACACAGCTGCTGTGCAAAGGCGTTGGTTCGGGGCTCGGAGAGCCCGCCGAGGGTGCTGCAGAAATAGCAGCGCATCACATAGCAGGGTACGGCCAGCAGTGCCGGTTCATGTATGGACACGTTTGGTTTAGGGCTTGCGCTTGATTTTGTTTCCTAAAGATAACTTTGGTAATTATGGAAAAGTGATGGAGGGACTGACCTTTGAGAAAGATCACTTGAACTGGTGAAAACCGGTGTGGAAGTAACATTTGAATTCACTGTGTGGAAGGGACCAAGTCAGTGGGTTGCTGAGCAGTGGCTCCATTAAAGATACCGGAATCCTTTATGCCAAGACTTGAAGTCTGTGCATTTCCCTTCCCTTAGACATCAGCTATTAACTGTGGCTGCTACGACTTATTTCCTTACTAGGTGCAGGAAGAAGAGTATTTACAAACAGGATGAAAAGACTTGAAGATTGTCACTTTCCTAAAATGTACATAATGCAGTTCAGTAGTACGCACTTACTGGACACCAGTTATATAATCTTACATTTAATTTGTATTTTCTGTGGCCGTTTGTTTACGAATTTCTTTTTGCAGTTTGATTTTTATGTCAGCTCGTATTTTGTGAGTTTTGTGTGGCTCTGTTGCGCTTCCTTTCTTGTGGTCACTCTCCTGTATTTCCTTGTGCTATCTTGCCCCTGTTTGCAGATTCTGCAGAAGTGTGTTTGCAAGGGGCAGTGATTAATCAAAAAGTTGTGAGGGATAAAAGGCAGATATTATGCATAGGGAAGAAAAGGGTGGGGAAAAGTAAATAAGCACAAGCGTATTTGTTTCTCCTTGCCTGTGACTCACTTTTTCATAACAGAAGAATTTTCAAATGAAGCAGAAGGCTAATTGAAAACAAACAGGAAGCAAAAAGTAATTATCTATGCACTGAACCATGAGAGGGTTCAGTCCTTTCATACTATTAAATTAACTAGCTAATTAATTTGATTGCCTTTTAAATGTATAACTGTTATAAAAGCTATATTATATACTATTACATTAATAGATAGTATTTCATAATATGGAGAGTATTACTTAGAGTGGGGTGGGTCTGATTATTAATACAGTGAATACAGTCATAATTTTTTATCCTTAATTTCCGTTTACCTTCATCTTTATTTTCTCTTCTTTCAGTTTAAAATCTAAGTCATATCTGTCAGGGGGAATTCTTTCACATACTGCTTTTCATTCTGTCACTTCATAGACCTACCTGAGCTTTCCTGTGCTGGCATTGCCCTTGATTGCACTGAGTCCCGTGTCCTGGACACAGTGCAGTTCAAGCTCTCCACTTAGGGCTGCTGCTTTATGCTACTCAGGGTAAGCATAGAAGATACATCTCTCCCTGCATTCTAAACCCACCTTTTCCCTCGACACTATGGTTTTGAGCTATGTATCACTTTTTTTGAGGAGTGCAATAATAGAGGCAAATAAAAGCATGTCAAATTTTGTATGGAATCCTGAAGGAAAAAAAAAAAGAGTCAATTGTTTCTGTAAGCAAAATACATTCTCTGTGAAGGCAGTATCTTCCCCCAACCTTATGCCTGCTTCAGGACTTGATGAGATTCTTTACGAGTGCAGGAAGCCAGGGATTTCTACCATCCCACCAGCTTTCTGTAGTAACTGTTGTCAGCTTGAGCTGCTGTAACTGAGTCATTTCAGTAGTTACACCTGGCTGGTTCCTCACATCCCTGTCCCCTCTTTGATGCTGTCTGCTCATCAGGGCTTAGCCAGTGACTCCGGTCTCCTGCCAGGTGACTCATTTGTAACCTGTTCTCAGATGCAGCCGTTTTAACTAGAAGTCTTGTGTCATAAGCAGTTTCAGATTCAATAAGTTCTTAGTAACATTTAATTAACTCTACAAATGGATATTTACAAAGGCACTTGATGGAGCAATCTTGAGATTACCTTAGTGGCATGAACTAGCGTTGGTTGAGAGGTAAAAGCATCTTGTTGCTTTCCCTTAGTTTCACAATGGTATTTTGATTCCTGAGTTCTGTCTTCTGATAAAGCTTTTCCTTATGTCCTCAGTGCTAATCTTCCCTGCAAGAATTTGTCATGAAACATTGTTTCCTTAAATATATGAACAGTTAGAATTTTTATGTATTGACCAACATAAATATAAATTCTTACATATACGTGGCAAAAGGTATTGTTTCTAATGGTGTCTGTTCCTTTCTGTGCAGGCAGTTGTTCCAGTATAGTTTGTAGCAATTATTTACATAGTGCATGTACTAGAATTCAATCATATTTAAACAGCTTAAAATCAAATACAAATATTTTTTGGTAATGGGAAGGTATTGCATCCTGAGGAGGGTGTTTTGAGTTTGATACATTTGTTCTCTTCTATCCTGGGAGATCAGATTATATTTTCTACAAATAAAATTTTATTTGAACTTATATTTTATCATATTTGTCTTGTTTTTCACAGATATTTTACTGTTCTTTTTATTTGTTTTTTACAGTTCTATCTTCAAGACACTAAAAGTAGTAATGGTACCTTTATCAATAGTCAGAGACTGAGTAGAGGATCTGAGGAAAGCCCACCATGTGAAATAATGTCAGGTGACATCATCCAGTTTGGTGTCGATGTGACGGAGAACACGCGGAAAGGTAAGGGTATGGATCATTTTCTGTTTTTTCACTATGTTTATTTAGAACATCTTATTGCAATTCAGTGTTTAAAAGTAAATAGTGTTCCCACTGTAAGAAAATAGGTTTGTTTGGGGGTTCTGTGTTACTTCTTCCCTCCTGTGCTGGCAGTGAGTCCTGTGGCTATGCCATAAACTGGATCAAGAAACTGTTCTGCTGAAAACACAGGTTTTATTTCCACCCCCATACCCTCAACTAGATTTTAACTGGGTTGTTTCCACAGCCCAACTTCTTCTCTGGCTGTATGGGTGCTGGTGTGTGCAGTGGAAGTGCAGGTCTGGAAAAGGAGGCTCAAGTGGGGATCACATGTTCAGCTATTGCCTCACTTAAATTAATCTACAGCAGTCTGAAATGTGCAACGTAGGTGTGTGTGTAGTGCTGTGTTGGGGTTTTTGTGCTTGGGGTTCTTTTTATTATTTTATATTTGTAATTACCTTTCGAGCCTATGAACCCTAAAGTTTCAGTTAATAGTGTGGCAGAAGTATGAAACTGCATTTCTTGGTCAACTGGTCAGCATAGGTTTGAAACCAGCTAATTTAATTCTTGTCAAGATACCCAGAGTTGCTTTCTGTGACTGCTACTAATTTTGATTTCTTCAGGTACTTTAAAATGAGGATAGAAAAAGTTGTTAGCTGAAAAATGAGGGGATGGGATTTTTGTTTGGTTTATTTTTCCTGCTGTCCCCTTCCCAGTATGCGTGCTCAGGAGATCTTGTATATATGTCAATAGCTATGTATCTGTGTTAATTCAAACGCAACCTCAATCTATTTTCTTTTGAGTTTACATAGTGTTTCAGGAGCCAGTTCAGAAGTGTATTAGGAAAGAATGAAAGAATAATATCAAATTGCAAATTCTTTAAAACAAACAAATAAACAAAACTCCCAAACAAACAAACATCTCTCCAACCAACCCCTCCAAAGCCCTACAAACCAATCCACAGTACAATAGTAGAATTTTTTAAGGGCATTAAGTGAACAAAACAAAAAGACAATGCCTTCTCCATCTGTTCCTCATGATTTTTGTCTTTAGCCAAGTAGGTTATAGTTCCCAACTCTGAAGTATCAGAGGAAGGTTAAAGAAGGTTAAAGAAAACATTGTTAAGCAGTGCTCATGGTGAAATGTTTTGTCAAGGATAGCTTCTGGATCTGTAGTATTTTTGAGTGATTCATTGTAGTGAAGGTCTCATCACAGTGTTTTACTTTTCTCAAAGATAATGTTGCAAAGATTCAACTCCAGGATGTCTAGCTGAAATTGTCTGGCAGTTACTTGAAATGTTTCCATGAAAAGTGATTGCAAATATTTATGAATACTGGATACTGGCAGTATACATGGAAGAAATCAAAGGAATACATTGCATCTGATGAACCTAGAACTGTTAATTTGATGAGATGCTGCCCTCAGAGAAGCTGAATTTGTTCAAGTGTACTTAGTCTAAAACAATTTTTATCATAAGATTTAGTTGGAAGAAAAATTAGATTTTACTTGTTTTTATCAGCAATGATTTGCAGTTAGTTTATGGGAAAGTTTGTGGAAAGTTCATGGTAAGCAAATCCTTGCCATGAATTCTTGCCAATAGTAGTTCTTTCCAGTGGTTTTACAAAACACCATCCCAGTGACCTGTCATTTGTGTAATGAGTGATCAGATTGTGCAGCCTGCCTTGTCCTTTTCTCAGGCTTTGAACGTAGCTGTGCTCATGCTACTCATGAATGTGTTGAGCTTGCTAATGAGGAAGAGCATACAGGTTTGCTTTCCTGGCTCTCTGTTCTCCCCCAAGCAGTGAAGGGAGATCATATCATCATGCTGAGGCACAAAACAGCTGCATCACAGCTTGGGTGTTTACCTGTGAATGCCACTGGAATGCATACAGACACAGTTTTTTCACCAGTTCATTTCAGGAGTCTTAGATGTTCCTGTTAATCTAATCTAGTCATGAAACAGACACGAAAGTAGATTTTAAATTAGTGATTCCCTTTAAAACCACTTGGCATTTGGTTATTTACATAATGCCTTACTTGCACTAGACATTTCAGCGTTCTGCTGGGTGTAATTATAAGGTAATGACAGGACAGGCAGAGTGTACTTGTCTATGTAAATTCTGAATTGTGTCAATATTGCTAGAATACATTTATTTTATTGTTCAGACTGTGTCTTAGTAAGTAATTTCCTTGCAAATGTGATCTGGATTTGGTTCATTAAAATAGTGGCATGTTCAGTATGTGATTTTTCAGGTTATCAGGTATGAGCACCAATTCCTCAGCTTCCTGCTGTGCAGGCAAAGTCAATAGCAGGCCCTGCAGAAGTGTTTTCATGCCTCCTGCTTCCTTATTTGTCCACTTGCTGTGTTAGTGACAAGCACAGAGACCTGGCCGTTTCCCTCTCCTTAATACAATACTTGCCTGTTAACATCTTGCTGTGTTTTTCTCTGTGTTAGTGTGGTTTATATTCTTTAAGCACTTGTTAATTTTTCCAGTCAGCACCAGAAAACTCCAAGAGTTAACTGGTGGTATTTCCCTGCGTGGAAAGGAGGAGCAGCCTTGCAAAGGAGGGTCAAATAATACCAGATGATTTAGTTAAAATACAGTTTATGTACTTTTTCTAGTCAGGTTTGGATTCTTTCGAACACCTCTTCTGTCATGGGGTGTTTGAAGGAGCCTGTGCAGTGAGGAGCTCACTGTGGTGTGGTGCACAGACCCCCGAGGGGTGTGAGGGACTCCTCGGGGCTGGACAGTGGCTACCAAGGCTGCTGTTACCGCACAAATGAGGGAAGAGAAAACCCAGTGTCACTTACAAATTGTTTCTTTAGGAAGCAAAAATTGAGACAAACAGGAATGTTTTCCATGTTCCCATTGTGCTCCCTTTGCAGCATAACCCATGGGGGTTCAGGGCAGCTCTTGGGAGGGTCTGGAGTGGTGAGGTGAAGTGTGGGGCAGCGCCGTGTTTCGGAGGGGTGCAGAGAGCTTGTGACTGGTGTGTGGCACAGCAAATTGAGCAGGAGCGGGGATTCAGTCCGTGGTGGGAGCTGTGGATGTGGAGAGTAGGGTTGTTTCCACTCTGGAAGGGGCGTGGGGAGGTGAGAGCAGGGCATCACTCCATGGTGGGAGCTGTGTGTGAGGCCTGGGGTGTCAACTTCACGGTGGGAGCTCTGGATGACGGTTGGGGTATCCCCCCATGCCCGTGGGTGTCACCCCATTCCTGTGAGGCCGGGGGTCACCCCATGCCCGTGGGTGTCACCCCATGCCCGTGGGTGTCACCCCATGCCCGTGGGTGTCACCCCGTTCCTGTGAGACCGGGGGTCACCCCATGCCCGTGGGTGTCACCCCATGCCCGTGGGTGTCACCCCATGCCCGTGGGGGTCACCCCATGCCCGTGGGTGTCACCCCATGCCCGTGGGTGTCACCCCGTTCCTGTGGGCCGGGGGTCACCCCATGCCCGTGGGTGTCACCCCGTTCCTGTGGGCCGGGGGTCACCCCATGCCCGTGGGGGTCACCCCATGCCCGTGGGTGTCACCCCGTTCCTGTGGGCCGGGGGTCACCCCATGCCCGTGGGTGTCACCCCGTTCCTGTGGGCCGGGGGTTTCCCGCCCTGGACGGCTCGCGGGGAGGCGCCGCCGTGCCCCGCGTGCCCGGCGCTGTGGCGCCCCCTGGCGGCGGCTTGGCCGCTGTGCCGGTGCCGGCGGGAGCGGCGGCCCGAGGTGAGCGGGATCGGGATCGGGAGCGGGGAGGGCTCCGTCCCTCGGGGAAACCAGAGCGTGCTGCGCTGCCTTGGCTTGGCACAGACCTGGATTTAAACGCTTGCTGCTGTCCCGTGCAGGCAGCGCTGCGTTCATGTTTTCTGTGTCGCTTTCCCTTTCCCTTAGGCTTTCTCATTATTTTTGCAATTACAGTTAACTGATAGCTAAAGGTCAGACTGCGGGGTTCGGGTGGTTTTTTCTTTCTTATTACTTTTATTTTATCATCTTATCAGAATGCTTGGTACCTTTTCCCAGTCACTGTCCTTTGCTAAATGCTCTTTATATCTTAATATTTTACACAAATAAAGCTCCTGCAGCTTTTAGGAGATTTTTTTTTCTGTCTGGGTGTTGACAGAAGATCTTCACAATTATGCAATCTCCCAGCAGACCTACCTGATACGTGACCCAAAGCTAAAGCTGTCTGTTGGTATTTAATTTCAGATCCCCCAATGTTTTCTTATTGAAATCACTAATTTCCTCCTAAAGATTGTTCATTATGAAAACTATGTATTACAGGCTACAACTAATATTACTGATTAATTAGTGATGTAATTTTAAAATGTTTTTACAAGAGTGGATTTGTTCCATTATAAATAAAGACCCCAGACCTTGCAGATTAATCTGTTTTGCCCTGGCATGTCAGTGTAATACTTTACCAGGTCAGCTTGAAAAAGCAAGGTGCTGTAGCCAGGAGGATGTGTCTCCAAAGCATTAGCTTTTAGCTATGGATAAAGGTTAAAAACAACTCAGCTTAGTTGGATCATTTCTCCTGTATTTTTAGATTCGATTGAGGTAGCTTCCTCAAAGACTTGTCTCATTTCCCTAGAGTATTACCGATGTCCTAAAATGCCCATTGCCCTTTTTTTCAAAGATAGATTAACTGTTTTGCTGATATTAATAACTGTGAAAGTAGAGCAGCTATTTCGTATGTTGATGGGTGCTTGATGTATAGTGGTGCATGATAGGTTATCACACACTCCTTTGTATCTATCTTGTGGGAGTATTTGGGGGACAATGTAGCTTTCCATGTATCTAGTAATAATTTTTACTTCCCAAATCATAGTACCATACTAGGAAAAAAACAACTCAAACTCAGACATAATTTGACTGTTTGCAAAGACACTGCAACTGGTATCAGTAACGTTTTTGGGAAACATTGTGAAGAAAGCATAATGCAGGAATCAAATATTGCATTTCCTCCTCTTATTCCTTAGAATCTCTCTAGAGTTCAAAGAATCTTGAATTTAGTCCTTGAGAAGCAAGTTTTCCTCTTCTGAAATGAGAGGCCACTTGTCTAGGGCTGTGCATTAGATGTGCACAAGCATCCCAAAATAGAGATGTTTTGTCTTGAGTGATGCTGCTTATGGTGTTTGAGAGGATGTACTTCTCAGTGGTTTCTACACACTTCCTCTGCGTTCCCTTTTTGATCCTTGTTTGTAAATAACAACTACTTGGCAAGTTCCAGATGTTGAGGTGAGTGTCAATGACACAAGTTGGGTGTGTTGCCTTTTGTCCCTGGATATGCTTGTAGGAATCTTGTCAAAAAGGAAGCTCTTTGTTTACACCTCTACGTTCCCCCGTTAGCTAGTGCAGGTAAGGCACATTCCTCCTTCCTCATTCTAGGATCAAAATATGCCATTAACTTTTTAAATTATTAGAGAAAAAACAGGTTTCAGGTATTTCTGCATGTGGAAAAGCTGGAACGGGAACTGCTCCCCAGCCAGGACTAAATACACAGCAAAGAACCCCTTCGAGTTTGTACTGCTGAAGTTTCCCATCCAGAGGAGACTCAGGAAGGCAAACACAGGCATTGGGACTTGAAGGTGTTCGTGCCTCTTCTTCTTTGCCTGTCTCAGGGTTTCTTCTGATAGTTTGATTGTTACTATAACATTAGCCATCGAATTTACAATTAAATAGTACCGAGTCATGATGACTTAGTATTTGTTTCTTTTCAGTTACCCATGGATGTATAGTCTCCACAATCAAACTGTTCCTTCCAGATGGAATGGAAGCTCGATTGCGATCAGAGTAAGAATAAATATTCATGTATAGCCAAAGTCAGCTACTGCATAATGAGGATTTGATTGATATTATGTTGAAAACCGGTGTAGGAACAGTTTGTTTTCCCATGACTGTGCAAAGGAAGTGCAAGGAGAGCATGGTTCTTTTGCAGGCACTATGAAAAAGAAATCTCATGTGCTTGTAGCTCTTAGAAATTACTATGAAAAATAAAAAGGTTTTCTAAAAGAAGAAACAATTTCTTTTGAAGTTGGGCTTTTCTGATCATTTGTGGTTTAGTCTGCTGAAATGGGTATTAGAAGCAGGAAAATATAGGGAAAAAGAAAGCAAATGAGCAAATTCTCCTGCCGTCTTTCTTTATTTGGGATTGTTATTTTTGCTCCTTTAAATGCACATAGACTCTACTAAAGTAAAGTTCATGGAAACTTAGCTGAATATTGACAGGGTTTTCTGTGCACATTTCAAAGAAATTTTCAGAGTAGTATAAACCCAAACCTTAAAATTTTGTTTGCTCTGAGTGCCAATTACAAATGACATGACTTAAATCATCTTTCATTATCAGCAACTGTGTGTTTTATATTGCTTATTTAAATATTCTTTTATCATTACTATCCAGAAACACTTGCATGAAGCTTTAGGGTGTCTTGTCTTCTGGGAAGATAAGTAAAAATAAATTGTTATGGGAAATTTTCCATATAATTTCATGTCCTAATAAGTAATAGGAGAAATGTATAGTGTTCAACTTTTAGTTCTTCTGAAAATGAGCAAGTGTAACATTTACTCCAGTGAAAATGTACAAAATTCTCTTAAGTTACCAAATTTTTTTTTATTCAGTTTGTTGAATTTATAAATGAGAGTAATATATCCACTCATTTAATATTTATTGTTTTGTGTAAATTGGATTAAATCTCAATAAATTAATTTTTAAGGAATCAATTTGTGTGAACACCGAAATAGAAGTTGGTAAAGAGAGCTTTTAGAATAGCTCCTTTATTTATAATTTGAAGTAGTTCTGTAACTTTAAAAAAGTCTCACAGCATAGTATTAACTGGTTTTACATGTTTGTGTATAAACTCTTCAACTCTATCTGAAGAATGAACTTAAAAATACAAAACATCTTAATTAAATGCACAGGACTAGTGATCTTATGGATTTTTGAACTGCTATTCTACACTTTGTGTTCACTTTCTTTAATTTATTTTTTTTAGTGTTATCCATGCTCCATTACCAAGTCCTGTTGACAAGGTAATTCAGTAATTTCCTGGTTTATGCCTTATTTAACCACATGCTGTTTTCAGACTTGTTATAAAGATGAAGTGGTGGAGTCTGTCCAGTTACATTTAGATATGTTTTCCACTGCCTGTTTTTACCTAGTTTAATATTCTGAGTGACATTTAAGGTAGAGAAGGGAATGCAGTATTGCAGTATATATTTGAAGGTAGTTTGACTTTTTACATTGTGGCACCTGAAACATGTCTCTGGAACAAAACTATTGATGTTAAGAGAATTCATTTCCAGGTAGAGGTTGACAGACCAACAGGTTCTGAGGAGGGACTACAGGTATAACTGTGAAAATAGTTAAAAACCTACAAGATTTAGTAAATTAATAGATTCTGCAAAACAATCGAGTTTCAATTAGGATTAAAGGTAATACAGTATTCCTGCAATCTGAAATAGATCCTTATGAAGGGGGATGATGACTGGTAGGTCCAAAGGAAATGTGACTGTAATGTGAGTGCCATGACATGGAATTGGAAGGCCAGTGTTTGTGTTGGTCTTTGGGTTGAATGGCTTCACTTTTGTGCCCCTCGGGGTTTTTTGTCACTTTAATCTCAATTGTAACAACAGCCTTAAAATCCCTGGTGTGCTGGTGGTTCAAGAACTTGTGAAGGCTTAAACACAGTGGGGCCTCAGTCCAGAGCTGGGAACTTCTATGATAAAGCAGAAATAGTAATGGAACAATAAATGAATGAAAATGCTATTATTAGATGATTGTAAGTTTACCTTCATGGCTAGATTTAAATGAATTTTGCATTATTTGACTTTAACAAGAAGTCTAAAACCATTCTGATTCTTACCTCTCTTCTTTTTCAGGTTGCTGCTAACACTCCCAGTATGTATTCTCAGGAATTGTTTCAGCTTTCACAGTATCTACAAGTAGGTTTTCTTTTAAAGGCATTTACTTTAATTTTTGTTCAAGACAAACCTTATGCCTTGTCTTTGGGCCTGTGTTTTGTAAACAAGAACACCATAAATGTTGAACTACCTTTTCTGTAGTGAAACAATGTAAAACAATGTGTGTAAACTTTCAGAGTTTTGCATGAGCACTATAAACTATGTCTTTTTTAGAGGAAGCATGAAAGTTTCCTGTATAGAAACTCCATGAATGCTGTGTACCTGCTGTTTCCTGGCCTTTCTTCTCTCCTACCCTGCAGTCCCCAGTTTTCCTTTGCTCACAATATTTTTGTTGTTATCCACTGCTGTGGATGTGTAGAAATACCAAAACAAAACCAAAAAAAAAAAAAAAAAAGGCAACACAACAGGTCATTTCATGTGTCAAGAACTAGTTTGTTTCTGGGAATGTAAACTCTTAGTGTGAATATTTCTGATCCTGTATCTGTTGGAAACTGTAAAGGAGAGAACAGTGCTGGTAGCTCTTCTTCCTCATTGGCATCACCAGCCTTTCTGTGCCTGCTTCTGTGTCAGTTTTAGTAGGTGTGTTTTTTCCCCACAAAAGATGTCATGTCACAAAAGGGTTGGACTGCAAAATGACAACACATTGAAGGGTGTGCTAATAGATATAAGAACACACTTCAGAAAGGATCATAAAATCAGCTTTCTGCAAAAGATAGAAAACCATTTTTACTGGTAAATGCTATCTAGGTTTAATTTATATGTAGTTCTACTGATTTATTTTGCCTGGTTTTGTTAGATAATAGCAAATTTTATTTGTTCCCATAAATGCTGAGGCTTTTGAGATAGATACTATCTTTATATGTATATGCTGACTTAGCTGGAAGCAACTCAGGCAGATGCTCTTTCTTGGGAAGCCAAATACGTACTCACTCCCAATCTGTTCACTCTCCATATCCTGGAATTGTTAACGAAGATGCTCTTCCATCTCACTGTCACAAACCAAAAAAGATGCAGAAATAGTAGTTCTTGCTTGGCATTTTTCTTTTGTGACCTGGTTTGAGGATGAACAGCTCATTCCGTGGGAGATGCCAAGCTGCCTTTTGGTGTCTGCAGTTTTGTTACTCAAATTATTGACAAAAGACAAAGTGTTTTCAAGTCTTGGAAAGAACAGCCATGTGTCCTTAGCATGTGCAAAAAATGGATGAAAAATGAAAGTTTTCAGGAACCTGAGGTTACAGGATACCATTTTCTAATTGAACTCTCCAAATAAATGTGTGGATGGATAAAGTGGAATGGGGTTATGGTTTTGAATATGTGGCAGTGCTTGCCACTCATATTTCCTTTTTTTTTTCCTTGTATTTTATGATCTCTTCTGTTGCTTCTGATTTCCTGAGCTGTTCTAGCTGAACTGACTGATGCCCTACTCTCTTCCCAGGAAGCCTTACATCGGGAACAAATGTTGGAACAGAAGCTGGCAACCCTTCAGCGATTACTTGCTGTCACACAAGAGGCTTCAGATACTAGTTGGCAGGTATCTGCAGGCAATCCTTTTCCTTGTGGACTGAACTATGCAGTGACATATAAATTTTTAGCTACTAATTTACAAACAATGGGGGGGAAAAGCGGCAGAAATAATAAAAGCTTTATGGTGGTTTTTTAAAACTGTGTAAAAGGTGATGTTTAATAAAATTAGTGATTATGTGCCAGTTTGAAATAGCTGTTAGTAGTGAATACTCTAGCAGAATGCAGGTCTTTAAAGCAGAACTCTACTGGCACTACATAAAGCACATATTAATTCCAAGGTGATGCTTCTTTTCTGCCAGGCTTTAATAGATGAAGACAGGCTGCTATCGAGACTAGAGGTTATGGGAAATCAGCTACAGGCTTGTTCAAAGGTAAGCACTTCACCTAAAGCTGAATGTTAGGTGAAATGAAGTTGAATGAAAGATGCCTCTTTTGGAGTGTTTTTTGAAACTAGCTGGTTGTAGGAAAACAGTTGGAACATAAACTCACTAAAATGAACTTGAGCAATTTTGATAATCTGAGTAGTGTGGAAATGGTAGCTCTGTTCTGTATTTCATGGAATCTGGGTAAGTGTCTACTGTTTTCATTGTATTAGAATAACAAGTATGCACTGTCTTGATTGTTGTTTAGGCCACCTATGCCTGCCTTGAATTTAAATTTTTATTTTATTTCTATTTCCTCTCCACTACCTACGTTCTAAGACATTTTTCTGCTGGTCCTGTTTAAGGTATTTTGTTTGGGACCTCGTAGCTCTCCTAGGCTTGACATTGTCTTAACAGTGTCCAATGAAAGTCCCATAATTTTCCTGTAATCAAATCTGACCATTGAATGTGTGCTGCTACACATACACTTTAAAAAAAAATGGTTTACACCCAGTTATGTCAAGCATCTTTGATCACTGCTTAATAGATAGCATATTCCCACCTATCAGAAATTACTGCTACTTTTAATACACCTGACTTTACCATGGTCTGTTATATTTAATCAGCAAAATACTAATTTACATGCTACCTCTGAATTATCTTACATTTACAGAATCAAACAGAAGACAGTATACGAAAAGAGCTTATAGCATTACAGGAAGACAAACACAACTACGAGACAACAGCCAAAGAGTCCCTGAGGCGGGTCCTCCAGGAGAAAATTGAAGTGGTCAGAAAATTGTCTGAAGTGGAGGTATGGAAGTTTCATGCCAAGTCTTTAGGAAATGCTGAAGTAGTTGTGAGAGCTGCTACTTAGATCCCCATTTTGTTGCCTGTGGTATGCCAGAATCTATTGTACCCTGACACTTGCAGAGTGTTAAGTAGTACTGTTTATTTCTCCTGTTGGACAAGATTGTTAAACAGTTAGAGGAGCTATTATTGCAGCTCCTCCCTCTTCTGCCAGGTTTCAAAATTGGTGAAGCTGTCTTACAGAAGTTCCTATGTGTGGGAGACAAGTGAGGGGAAAATGACATACATGCTTTAAAAAAACGCTGTAAGACCTTGTTTAAACTGTAAAATTTATGGAAGCATACACTTAACTACTTGTATGAAGTACACTTAAGAATGAGCTTTTATGATTACAAAGCGATGGACACTTTCTTCTCTGCACCATTTAGTTGTGCTGCTGTCACCAAACTTCAGGAGCATTCCTTGCTTCCTGGAGACCCAGCTGCCTCTTGAGTAAGGGGATCTTAGTTTAGATGCTTTTCCATGTTATGAAGTACAAAAAAGGATTTAGAACACTTCCTTGGAGCCATTAGCTTTTATAATGTGTTAAATCATCTTTCGCTGGGTGAAAGGTATGATGGAATCTGTTGATTACATTGCATTAAAAAATACTATATAAATTTCATGGTTTAGCGTAAAAGGGAAGAGAATGGTGGAGATGGATCACACAGTTCAGTCCTTTCTTCACAATTATATAGCCCACTGTGGGGTTTTTGGTTTGTTTTGTTTTTTTTTTTAACACATATGTAAAACGATAAATTTTCTCATAATCTGTACTTTGGGTAGAACATTAGAGTTTTGTATAGATGATGTTTTTGCCAGGACTTGATCTGTTTGTTTATCCTTAATGATTAAAACCAAGGCAGCTAAATGTGATTAGTTACATATAGTGTTTGGAAAAAAATTTTAGTGTTTGGTAGTTTATTGTGTCTCCTTTTTTATTATTGATTGCATAAAAATTCTGTCTTACAGCGGAGTTTAAGTAATACAGAAGATGAATGTACACACCTGAAAGAAATGAATGAGCGGACTCAGGAAGAATTAAGGGAATTAGCTAATAAATACAATGGAGCTGTAAATGAAATCAAGGATCTTTCTGACAAACTAAAGGTAACAACAGAACTTAGTCTGACTTACGATAGAACTGTGATGAATGGAACAAATAAATACAATTGAATTTCTAATGTAATCAAAAAAGGTTAAGAAGCTTTTTGAACAACGGGTTGATGATAGAAAGATGCATATCATCTTTTACATATTATTTTGATTTTAATGTATTTGAAGCTGTCATCAGTTAAGCCACTTGCTGAAAAGGTTTCTTTTTCATTCATTTTGAAAGTTGCCATATTTTTGGAACCAAAATATATTTTAGTATAAAATTACGTAAGGTGTGAAACTTTACATTCAGCTGCTTTTATGTAGACAAATAACTTTCAACCTAAACATCTTACAGGTAATGGGATTGGAAATAAATTTGCATTTTGTGTTGCCTCTCTGTGCAGATACAAACATAAGCAGCCCACCCCATAGCAATAATATGGCTCAGCTGCCAGGGGGTAGGAGCATGCTGTTAAGGAGCATGCTGTTAAGTTTGTGATTAAATTAAATGTCTAAGTATATATTTAAAGGTCCTTTATGCTAGAGAACAGAATAAACACTTCATGATAAATCCTGTTCCTTAAGAGTTTCCAATCTAGGTAAGTAGAAGCTGTGAAGGAGGAAGGTAATGATGTTATCTCTGGAGACCTGAGACAGTTGTTGCATTTGTCTTGGATAAATACTGGAACTGGAACTTGGGTTCTTTGAGTCCTAGTTCAGCATCTCAGACAGAAGATTTTCTTTCCAAATGAAAAGGTTCAATTGCTGCTCTTAAAGCACTGTATACACAGAAGGGTCCAAACTGAAACTTATGACTTAGCTTTGAGGGAGAAGAGTCTTTGAAACTCTTCAAGAGATCCAGCAAGGAAAAAGGTGTGGCTTTAATCAAGTTGGTCTGTGCTGTCAGTGTGCATTCAGTTCAAAAGGGCTCTTGAGTTTTGAGTGATTTGAGATGCTGGGTGACAGTTATTTAGGTCCATTTAGCTATACAAAAATCAAGGAGACCTGTTCTTTCATGTGTTAAGTTTGATTTGTTTGGGGATTTTTTTTGCCTTTTTTCGAGCAGGTAGCAGAAGGAAGACAAGAAGAAATCCAACAGAAAGGACTGGCTGAGAAAAAGGAATTGCAGCATAAAATAGATGAAATGGAGGAAAGAGAGCAAGAGCTTCAAGCAAAAATAGAAGCTTTGCAGGCCGACAATGACTTCACCAACGAGCGCCTGACAGCTTTACAAGGTTAGTCACTAGCGGGGGAGAAACTTTGGGTATTTATTTTTCTTTTAATCTGTGAAATATCTTTTTCTTGGACTTCTGTTTACAGTACGGTTAGAACACCTTCAGGAGAAAACTCTTAAAGAACACAACAGCTTAGGTAGGTGTGATCGGTTTCTTGTTTCAAGCTGGTTTCCCGATTTTCTGTTCGTTTGCTCTCGTTATCACAGTCTCCTAGTCCCGCTGTCTGGTGATGGAGTTGATTCCCACTTATCCCAGTAGGGAATTATCCAGGACGTGGAGAGGGCACAGGGGCCGGCAGAGGGCGCTGGTGCTGCGGGTGTTCAGTGCCGGCCCAGGGCCCGGTGCTCGGGTTTGGAGGGGTTTTACATTCGTATACATTTTAAAATCCTTTTAAATATATATAAAAGGATATATATATATGTATGTATGTATGTAATAGGCAGCCATTCTTTGGGTGTTTGTAACCTTTCATATGTTTGAACAATCTGTAGTGCAGAAAAAAACCCATCACACTTTGCCTGCTCTGTTTGATTAGGTGCTTGGAAGGAGGAAGTAGCATGAAAAGCCAGATACATTTCACAATGCTATATTTATAAAGAAACAAAACCCAAAACAAAATCTTGCTTGGTTCCAAAAATAATACCCTTTCTTGATCCTAGGCATACAAGTTGACGACTTCATACCTAAAATTAATGGGAGCACAGAGAAAGGTAGTGTATCTTAAGGCTACCTTTTGTCTTATGGTTGATGTTTGAAGTTGAACAAATTCAAAATGTTCTTGAAAGTCTTATTTTGAATAATATTCTCTTTAAAAATTCAGTTGAATTTGTCCACTCCACTGACCAGCATTTTTTTAGCTTAGACATTCAGTCTGGGTGTTTATAAAAGGTTCTGTAAAATGTAACAAAACAACTTGGAAGTCGTC